TCATTTTTGGGGTAGCTTTTATTGAACACCTAGAAGGTACTTAATAAAATAAAGAATTCTTGATTAATTTACACCCCTACACTCAAGGAACTTACCTTCTAAGGGAGAGATAACATATACATAACATTATCTAATTCTTCTTACCACAGCACTACGTAGATACTATCATTAATCCTGATTTCACAAATGAGGAAACTGAGGTTGAGAAGTAGGAATTTGTGGTGGGATGGTTAGAGATAGACATTCAGAAGGAAAAAGAACGGGTCCCTTTAGAAGAGGAGGCTGCATGGAAAGAGGCCTGGATTTGGAGGCAGAGGACGTGGTTTTCCACTTCTGTCTCTTGCTGGCTATATGACCTTGGCCAAGTCACTTAACTTAGCCTCAGTTTCCTGCTCTGTAAAATTTGATGGTTGGACTAGAAGATTTCCCTCTTTCTAAAGCTCTGAACCTCTGATCCATGAGGGCTGTGGGGGGACGCTGGGATTAGAGCAGGGACAGACTCCCTGTGTGATGGGCCTAGGAAGGAAGGGAGACTTGAGGGAGGGCATTAAGAATGCTCACACTTGTGTGCCATCCTGTGATTTGCAGAGCGCCTTCTCACAGCCAACCTCGTGAAGCAAGTTACGCCAGTGAGCATTGCCATTTCGAGGCAGCTGGGTGACACAGTGGATAGAGCCTGGAGTTGAGTTCAAATCTAGCTTCAGATACTTATGGGCTGTATGGCCCTGGGCAAGTCACTCTCTGCCTCAGTTTCCTTAACTGTGAAATGGGGAAAATAATCACATCTACCTCCCAGGGTTGTAAGAATCCAAATACAGGGTTCTTAGCCCAGTGCCTGGCACATAGAAAGCATTAATAAAGGCTGCTTCCTTCTTTCCCCCTCCATTTTACAGACGGGAGCAGAGGAGCAATGTTGATGAGGGATGAGGTTCAGAGAGACATAGAAACCCTCACCCTGCAGGAGGAGGCCCCTTTGGCTGTGGCGCACACCACCTCTGGGCTGATCCGTCTGCCCCAGAGCTTGCATTGGGTATTATTTCAGGAGGGAGGGGCAGGGCTGCCTGCTGAAGCTTCTTGGGCCCTTTGTAGTCTGGAGAAAAAGAGACAGAAGGGTGTGTGAAGGGACGAGACTGATGAGATCACTGATTTCAGGTTGGAAAGGGTCCTGGGGTCACTGAGTCCAGCTGAGGCCCAGAGACCTTGCCCAAGGTCACAGAGGTAGCCCCAGCCTCGCCCTGTCCTTCATAGGACACTCACCATTGTAACTGGTCCTGCCCAGCCACTGGTGACGCAAATGGAGTCTTCAGGGAAGTAGTTACCGGCACTAGGCATGCAGAGGGGACACAGTGTCTGAGAATCGGACGGGTGTGGCCAGCTTCACTAAGGTGATGTCATTATTGTCAGGGAGCTTGGTGTATTTGGGGTACTTGAAGACCTAAGGGGTGCAGGGGAGGGCCAGGAATCAGGTAGGGAGCTTCTGCTCAGGGGCTCACCCTTGCCCCATTCAGGAATGTCTGAGCCTTGTGAGCCTGGAGGAGGCTAGGAATCTGACCACCAGATCTAGTCATTCCCCCGTATAGCTTAACCTCCTCAGTCCAGGGCAGGGGGCATCCTGCACTGAGTGACTGAATCCGTCTGTTCTCAGAACAAAACAGAGAAGTAGGGAAGAGTAAGGAACATTCGGAGTGACCCCCCAAATGGAACGGGCTCTCATAAGGTTGTGAGGTCCCCATTACCTTTGAAATATCCGACAGGGGATTCGTGATGAGATAGGAGTTGGCTTTATCCACTTCTGAAATGTTCACAAGATTCTAAATCCTGGCTTGGAAGTCAGGGGTTACTTGTGGTGATAGCCACCCCCTTGGCCACCCTTGGTCTCAGCCTGACAGGTGAGTGTAGTCCCCGCCCCCCACCACTGCCCCCACCAAACCTGGCCTATACCTGGTCGATCTTCAGGACCTAAATGTCCTCATCCTCAGAGCCCTGGTCAAATTCACCAACTACCAACTTGTGACTCCTTCTGGAGTGGGGGGAGGGGAAGGCAAGGAGCAGCCCGTGATGAGAACCAGGCAGGTAGTTATTGGAGTTCCACCAATCCCCACCCAAACCCAGCTCACCCTCTCCCCCACCCTCCTGCCCCAAAAGTTGGAAGCCTCTGTCCTCTCTGGTTCATAACCTGGGGGACATGACCTTGGAACTTTTGATATTTTGAAAACGCTACTTCTATATCATTGGTTTCTTTTGTAATCCTCTGTATTTTACTTTATACATAAAAAACAATTATTTTAAAAAGATCCTGATTTTCACCAGATTGCTCAAAAATAACCCCTTACCCTCAGAGCTGTCCCTTAACTTACTTGACTTTGCAGCGGGCAGCAGTGATCACCCAATCTTGGCTGATGAGGGACCCTCCACAAAAATGGAAGCCATCAGTAAGTTGGGGGAGAGAAAGAACGGACGGGGTATCCCTCCCCTCAAGGGCCCACCCAACAGGAGGAGGAAAAGGAGAGGAGGAAGAAGAGAAGTGGGCATCTGAAAGACAGC